CGGTATCGGCAAGTACCAAAAATAAAAGTATCGGTATCGGGCGAGTACTGGAAAAAGTGGTATCAGTGCATCCCTAATATAAATGAATTAAATCAATAAATTAATCAAGGACTCTTGATTAATTTTGAACAGTTTATGAACACAGTATTTGTTTTCACTGGGCTTGTATGTCTGTTGTTTATTTCAAAATGACAGGTCTAGCGCTGACTGAGAGCTGGAGGTGAAAGGTCAGGCTCATGGTATACATTCCTACCTTGTAATGCCTCCTTTGCTCTGTCCAGCTCCTGCTCTTTCTGTGTTAGCTGCACGCGGAGCTGTGAGACAGACAGCAGCTCCATGGAGCAGCCTCCTCCGGTCTCCTCCAGCTCACGATTCAACATCTCCCTGACCTGCTTCAGCACTGACACCTCCTCCTGCAGACGCACCACCTCTTCATGCAACAGCACTACAGAGAAAGGGACAAAGAGAGAGAATAATTTAACATTATAATGCATCATTGTGATGGTTTCCTGGTTTATTTTGCAACAGGTGAATGCTTCTTATTGTTAAACTATTTACTATTATTGTTATTAGAAGTGGCATTGAGCGAAGTGGATTTTAAATGCAACAGCAAAATAAATAAATAAATACATAAAGATACAGCAAGGATGCATCAAATTGATCAAATGTGACAGTAAAGACATTCACGATATGCCAAAAGTGCTTTACTGGAATGCCAATCGGCATCCAGGACCAGAACTATTGTATATAATTTGAAGTATGAAAAGAAAATCCTTCAAAGTATTCCATCAATTAAACTTCATGCAAAATATGCAAATATACCTCCTACATGCAAAGCAATTAGATCATCTCAAGTGTTGGGACACAAGCATGAGAGCATTCCTGTCATTTCTGCAGAGTGAAGCTATAGAAACTAAGCATAGGTAAAGGGTGAGATGGAATGTCAAATAAATTGTTTAGAAGGCTTCAGTGATGACAAAATCACACCGAATCTACAAAGCTAAAAATCACACATACATAAATATACACATGATTCTGCATATGTGCAACAGAATCACACAAACATGAACTGCCCTTATGATGATCTTTGTGCTTCAACTTTTTAAATAGCACTTCTGGATTTACACAAAGAGATAAGTGTATGTACAGTAGTGTGTGAATAAAATCATAAAGCAAAAAACAGCAGCGGTGAGGTGTTTGTGTGTGTGTGTGTGTGTGTGTGTGTGTGTAGCATTCATAATGAGCTTTGACCTGTGTCTGTCTGGCTTATGGCCATTTATGTGATGCGTTTAGGTTGTTTGAGTTGTTGCCAAATTCTGAAGAGTTCAGTTCAGTCACGTGAGCTCTTCATTTAAAGTCTGATTCATTCTCTATTCTCTCAGCAATGTGATGATCACATGAGTCTAAAAAGTAAAACAATCTAAATATTCACATCACGGTTAGCTCCGAATGTGGGATTTGAAACAGGTGAGGAAACCTGAACATCTGGTGTTCCTCCTTGTCAGAACAGGCTGAAGTCTTGACACAGGCATCTAATGCAGCTCTAGAATCTGCTTTAGTTTACTTTCAGTCAACAGATACGAGACAGCCCTACAGATCTGGCAGGCTGTATTATACGGATTAGAGCAGTAAGACCTCTGCATCAACTAATCCAACAATGAGCCTCTAGAATGCAGATGTGACTCAAGATTAGCTGGGTTCAGTGAAGGGTTACAGCTGGCTCTAGCCTGAAGTTTCTTGTCCAGACAGAAAATTTTTATTGTTCAATATTATATAAGTGTATGGTATGAGTTTTCACCTGGACTCTTTGTGCTTGCTATTTTTGTGCCTTTAAAAACAGGATATCAGGGCTAATTTACACAAGCGGAAACAAGGCCTGATCCTGCATGCTCAATATGTATGTATAGTGACCCAAAAATGCCATTTAAACCATGTTCATTGCATTAGAGAGAAAAAAAAATCAAACCAATTGGGACACTGGACCTGTATTCAGAACTAGTTTAACTTCACTAAGCTATTTTTCCTGTCAGTTCCACTTAAGTTCTTTAAAATAAATGCCACTTGGTTTAATGATTTGTTAACCAAGGCAATGACATTAATACATTTTGTGACAAGTGTGTGTGACAAAGAAATAAAAGAGGAAAACACGGAGAGAGAAACAGAGAGAGGCATCTGAGGGCTTCTCATGCAATGTTTTGATTTAATTTAAAGGGTCCTGAGTGTTTTGGCCTTTGAGGACATTACAGAAAAGGGCAGCGATCTGATTCACATTCTGAAGAGTTTAATTCTATTAGTGTAGTCAACCATAAAATGAGTCTGCGAGCCTTAGGGAGAAGACTAGAGAAGGACTGATCACTGACATACAGCAGAATCTCTCACAGCACCATAAACCGCATTTCAAAAAATAACAGTGATTGTCCGCAGTAAAAGTTTCCTTTTATCAGATAAACATCTGCATCATACACATGAAGTTTGGACTTGATAATAAAGAGACTGCTGGCTTGTGTGTGTGTGTGTTTCTGTCCTGGAAAGCTTGTGCTTCAGTTTATGTAGAGTGAAGTGATGCCAGGCCTGTCCTGTGTGATAAATAGGGCTGTGTATCACCAGCAAAGTCACGATACGATACATATCACGATACAACGGCCACAATACGATACGAACAGGACTGCACTGAATTTCACCTCAGAAGAATTTAGTAAAACAGCTGTTTATTAAACACTGCATACTATAGTGCCATTTATAACTATTGGCACAGCAGGCATCTGACCTATGCATTATGAAGGGCCTTCATAAGTGTACCACAGTACATCATAGGTACATTGCACAAATTAACACTCTCTACGTTTAAAAAATAAAAATAAAAATTAGAAGAGTTCTAAACTAATGCGCTGTCTTCACTGTATCAATGCACACACACGCTCAGTCACTCACACAGATCACGTTGCGGCCGCACTCAGACATTCAGGAACAAACATTTTAGAGCTGTCCCGCAATTTTATCAACTAAATAGCTTAATCACTCAAGAGCTACATTATCTTTCTCAACAAGGAGCTTGTAACATCATTGTTTCTAAAGGAATTAAAGCCACAGCTTCACCGTTAATAGAGATACACAGCAAAACGGTGGTAATTCATACATACGTAGCCTCTCTCTCTCTCTCTCTCTCTCTCTCTCTCTCATAAATTAACACTTGATGAATTACACTTTTCTGAGAATAGAATATTGAAGTGGAGATCGCTAAACTGCAAGCTAACCGGTGTTTTCAGAAAGCAAGCGCGTTTATCAACAGTGGAGAGAGCGCGTACACATGGTTGCCAAGTTGACAAAGATAAGTAGCACACTTAGCAGATATTTCCGTATTGCGCAAGTGGGAAGCTCCGTTTCAGGGATTACGTCTCTTTATATCAGGCAACCCAGTTGTGTTCCTCTGCGGCCAGATTAAACATTGTTGTAGCCTAAGTATTATGCTCTATTCATTCTTTTTTAGAAACCTCGCACTTCTCTACTCAATTTTAAACGTTGTTCTTGTATTCAAATTAAGCACAGTCCACTGCTGCACATGTACCATGAGCCAATACTCGTATCTTCAAATCTCTGTGACGATACATCGTCGTATCGATGTATCGAACACAGCAAAATACAACTCCCACAGTCCCTCCACCGTGTTATTCATCTTCTGAAGGTGGGGCATTTTGATGCAAACAGCTCTACGACATTGCATCACTGCATGTTTTGCCGGCTTTCACAAATTAATTCTGCATTAAACAGAATGCTGATGACACGTAAAAAAAGGCAAGAAAAAAGATTTAACAATTTTGTCCCCAATCCAATACTGTGGAGTAACTGACAAAAATAATTTAAGGAAGTAAGACATTTTCAAGTTTACCTCCTACTATTAATTAAGAAATGTTTATGTGGGAGTGCCTTAATGTTCATTTACTTAGTCCTGTGTGAAGTGGAGGACTAAGCAATAATACAAAATAATCAAATAAATAATACAAATAATACAAAGAGAGATTTTTAGTATTAAGCATAAAATGAGAAAGCAAATTGCACATTATTTTGTTACTGTATAATATAAATATTATTATAAAATATTAAATATAATATTCTAATACTATATTCTAATATTTTACCTTTTAAATAAAATTATTATTATTATTATTATTATTATTATTATTATTATGTGCATACCATTTAGCCTTTAGAAATTGTCTTCTGCAACAGCATCTAAAAATATATTTATGCAAATATTTACTTTAACCTAGTCTAAAGTTCATATCCATTTGTTAACAACTTGCGTGTGTGTGTGTGTGCGACTGTGTGTCTGTTTGAAAATAAACACACTTGATGATGCAACGGTCCATTCTGATGCTTCATTGCATTTACAACACACTTTGAAAACCACTTGAATCAAATCAGCCAATACATCATCTGATCACACACATAAACCCTCTCCCAGTGAAACCAGTCATGCAGCTACAAAGAAAGTCTTGCTGCTCTCCGTTTCTCTCTAGCCTGAGGGGAAATGCTCACGATCAGTCGTTTACTCACCCGCATTCACCGCTCATCCCTCACTGTCGTCTACACCAAGTCAAATGCTCCAGACTAAAAGAACCTCAGCTACTATCTCCTGCACTGAATCCAAGAGCAAGCCAAATTCAAAAGCTCAAACTCCCTCTTCACCTGCCAGGAGCGACTCCCACTGGTTTACAGATATTAACGGTCCTCAGCCCTCCCTCTTTTAAATGCTTAAAAAGGAGGAGCTACAACTGACACCACTGTTCAACACACACACACACACACACACACACACAGGGCTAAAGGAAAGGAAGGATCTAGGGTCAAGGTGCAGAATTTCAAGCAGGTAATGACTCTCTTTTCAAATAAATCCACACACACACACACACACACACACACACACACACACACACACACACACAGCACTCTCACTTGCCAGATTCCTGTAAGAGGAAACCACACACATACACACACACACAGAAGTTAACAATCAACTGCTAACACACAGTTCTCAGAATAATCTACAGGAAACCCCTGGTATTGGCATGCATCTTCATTCACTTGTTTTTCTCAATCAGTTTTGATCCAAGTATCTCAGTTTGCGTGTGTGTGTCTTTCAATTTATTGTAACAGACTATATTGAAAGATGACACTTACACAGCACATGCTGTCAAGCATTTAATCTGCAAGCATTTCACTTTGTGAGAAATTTGGAATAAAAACTGATGTTGAACTACAAAAAATTATTTTTTTATGTTAAATAATTTGGCATTACTTTACAATAACATCCTATTAGTTAAAGTAAGTTAATGTGTTAACTACAATGAGAAATACATTTCCTACAGTATTTAATTGTTAACATTAGTTTAGCATTGTTAGTTTATGTTAAGTCCATTAAATAATATTATTAGATAACTTCTGATT